CCAGCTGAACACTGCAGCCCCCAGAGAACTCCCCCCGCCCTGGAGACCAGCTCTCCACCTTTGCTGGTGCGGGCTTGCCTGTCTTAGTTAATGGTGCCTGGCACCGGTGTGGCATTCGTGCTTCTCGGTGGCCTTCTGCCAGGCTTCACGACATTGGCCTTCACCCAGGTTGTCACTTATTGTGTTTCCTTCTTTTTAAGCCTGAACGCTGCTCCACTGTATGCAGGCCCTGCAATTCCTCTATCCAGCGGATATTCAGGTCTTTTCCACATTTGGCTCCTGTTGCTGGGCACATGGAGGTGTGGGCAGCCCTTGGAGCCCTGGTGTGGACATAATATCCAGGGGTGGACTTGCTGGATCCATGTCTAATGTTCTCAATAACCTCACGCCCTTGCCCTCACCACCATCACCAAGGGACGTTCCCACCACTTTGGCAGATCGTGAGGGTCCCGGGAACTCGGGCTCCTCCATGCTGTTTGTCTTCACCGTAACAGCGAGAAACAGTGATTAGTGAGGTCAAGCATCTTTTCATAAACCTGCTGGCCGTTTGTGTCTGTTTTCGGGGAAAATCCATTCCACATCCTGAGCCTCTTTTTGAGCTTTTTTGCCATTCAATCTTGGGAATCTCTAGCATATTTGGGGAATGAATCCCTTATCAGATCCGTGGTTTGCAAATGCCTTTTCCATTCCATAGACCGTCTCGCACCCTGTGTTCCGCTCACGTGGCTGCACGCAAGCTTTTTAGCAAGACGCAGATCCAAGGCTGCTTTCCTCGCCCGTGCTCCCTCCCACGACATGCTCATGCACTCCAGCATCACGAGGCTTGCTGTTTTCGGTTTTTTCTGAACTTTCAGTTTCAGATCTAAATGTGCTCCGTTTGTCTTTGTCTTTCTTTCATGAAGCTGTGGCGTCAGGAGCCCTAGGAAAGGCACCCTTACAGGTGTGCACTGGGTGAGCTTCCCAACAGTGGGTGGAGCTTCCCAGCAGTGGGCGGAGCTTCTAAATAGTGGGTGGAGCTTACCAACAGTGGGCGGAGCTTCCCGTCAATGGGGGCTTCTCGATGGTGGGCGGAGCTTCCCAGCAGCGGGCGGAGCGTCGCAGTGGAACACACGTGGTTCAGCCAGGGGTATCGAACAGATGCCGGTTTCCTCCGTTACAGCCATCCTGCTGTGACAGCCAGGGCACAAAAAGGGATGAGTTGCCCTTTCCCAGTGACATGTGCCAGGGAAAGGCAGGTTCCAGGTGCCCACCTGGCTGTGATGTGGCCCCTCACATATCCAGAACCAGGAGTCGCTGAGTGGAGCTGAGAACTCACCGCTCGGAATGAACCCGAGGGCTAGCTCTGGCTCCCTCCCCCCAGCTGTGGGCAATCAGCCTGGAGGGTCCTCCCGCCTCTGCCAGGCCCCTGGGAGCTAAACTCAGGGTTTCCGCCTCCCCAGCCTCCAGCCCCTCCTTCTTACCCACCTCTCCGGCTGAGTCTACCTTTCTTTCCCATTCTTTTTCTTTCCATGTCAAAAAGAAAAGCTGTCTGCCAAGAAGAGCTGAATATTCTCCATACAGTAGAAATCTTACAGGTGTGATTTCTGGTCATGATGCCAAAATGCTCAAAATCAAGGCCCCAGAGAGCCTAGCCCACCCACTGGGAACCTTGAAGCAGCGCTCTAGACAGTTCTGCGTTCCAGGGGACTTGTCCCAGGAGCATCACGTTACCACCTCTGTAAGAAAGCACAGTGGGTAATGCAAGAAACCGTGTGCCACGCCGGAAACCTACAGAGATTGGGAACAGGAGAACTACACTCAGTTTAGGAAGCCTACCCTGCCAGCCACTAATGACCTCTGAGGTCAGTAAAAGGAAAGAATTAATGAAGGTAATTAGAAAAGCTAGAGAAAGAAAATACCCCACACATTAGCAGATAGTTTTAAAAAAAATAAAATAGATAAAATGTCTAGCATTTATTACAAACCAATAAAATAGGTACACATCTAGCAAATCTGACTGACTTACACACATCAGACTATAAATGATAAAACAGATGATTTTTGGCACCATGGAGGATAGTTCCACTGTATGCTTTAAAACCCACAGAGAATTGCTAGATAAAATATAACAAAATGGTAATTTTGCTTTAAATAACCACAAAACAAAGAAAAGGAAGAAGAGGAGGAGGAGGAGGAAGAGGAGGAGAAGGAGGAGGAAGAGGAGGAGGAGGAGGAGGAGGAGGAAGAAATAATCATCACATGCAAGAAATAAAGAGGGAATCCTGAGCCAGACTCTGGGCCTGAGTGGCCCTGCAGTAGCTGAATAGGTTACTGGACACAGGTTCCAACCCAGGTTTGGGGACCCAGAGACTAAACAGAGCTGGGAGAGATGTTGCCTTAGGACTACTTTGGATGAGGACTGGCATTGAGAGCCCCACACAAGCTTGGAACCTCGAGGGCCACTCCACCTTCTAAACACAGTTCATGCCCTGGAGGAGAAGCAAGGTGACCCTGGTCCAGGGCTCCCAGGGCTCCCCAGAGCAGAAGAGCTCGGCCCGTGCATCAGATGATTGTGGATCCAGGTGTCTGCATCTTCTCTGCACAGAAACATACAGGAAAAAAAAATTAGTCAAACAACAAGAAAGACAGTCAGCTACATGAATTTTAATTTGACTTAAAATTAAGTAAAATTGGGCTGGGGGTTGTGGCTCAGTGGTAGAGCGCTCGCCTAGCATGTGTGGGGCACTGGGTTCGATCCTCAGCACCACATAAAAAAAATAAAATAAAATTGTTGTGTCCCCTACAACTAAAAAAAAATTTTTTAAAATTAAGTAAAATTTAAAAACCCAGTTCCCCAGTAGCAAAGGCCACAGCTCAAGTGCTTGGTAGCCACCTGTGGCCACTGGCTGCCATGGTGGGCAGTGCAGATACAGAACAGCTCTTGATGACAGAAATGTCTTGATCCACGCCCTTGGATGGGGAGATAAGTAAAAGAGGTAAAACTTGAAACAAAAGAAATAAAATACAGTTGTTTCCACATAATATCAACCTAGTCATCCACTTAATAGCTATGAGAAGTTGATCAAGGGGATATGATGCCATATAGATAAGTAAAAGTAAAGACGTATTCAAGGAATAACTACTTGCAAAATGTGGATGAAGAAGAGCCCATTGCCATAGCAACGGGATACATAGAGCCCCTGAAGGACAAGAGGGTAGTGCTCCAACAAGCAGGAGAGGGAGCCCCAAGTCGGGGGAGACTGCCTGCCCAGCCTGGCAGGCTTCGCTGCAGCAACCAGAGGGCCCCCTCCACCGAGACCTGAGGGTGTCCTGCCCACTCTCTGTCCATCAGCTCATGTAATTCCCACCGTCCTATGAGCTCCACCTGTTATCCTTTACCCGTGCGGTGTCCCCCACAAGCGCATGTGTGAGACAGTGCAAGATGGTTCAGAGGAGAAACAGTTGGGTTGATCCCCTGATGGGATTAACTGGGTGGTGACTGAAGGCGGTGGGGTGTGGCTGGAGGAGGTGGGTCCCTGGAGAGTGGAGTCCCTCTGCCTGCTTCCCTCTTCCACACGATTCTGCCTCATCTCAGGCCCTGAGGAATGGAGTTGGCCCTCTGCACTGAGACCTCTGAAACCGCCAGCTCCAAATACCTTCTCCTTTTTTTTCTTGTCTTTTGGTCACAGTCGTGAAAAAGCCAAGTAAAACAGCACCAATGCCTCCTGACCCCCGGATGTGCACAGGAGAACCCTGCAGTATGAGGAGGACAGCATTTGAGGCTCCCAGGGAGAGGCAGAGCTGGCCTCTGAGCAGAGGCCCCGGGACAGCTGGCTAACACACACGTCAGTGCCCTGAGATCTCTGCCTCACACCCTGGACAGGGTTCATCCTGGACTGAGGGTCTCTGTGTTTCCCCAAAGCATTGCCCAGCTATGAGCGCTGCAAAGCCAGTCTCTCGCCCGCTGTCTTTCGGCCCCTGCTCAGACATGAGGAACAGGCCTGGGGCCCTGCGCATCTTTGCCCAGAGGCACAGACACCTCCCCATCTGCACTGGCCTGTGGCCTTGGGTGAGAACATCTTCCTGCCTTGACCTTGGATCCTCCTTCACTGCACTTCAGTGTGCATGTCATCCAACACCCATGAGTCCCCAGCATGCAGACAGGGCTGGGCCACTCTGCTGCAGCCCAAGAAGAGTCTGTGCAGCCCACACCCTGAGGATGCCCTGGCCAAGGGCACTGCTGTCCGTCCCCCCCTGTGTTGCTCTGTGTGAGTGACGCCTTGATCCAGTGCTGGACCCATCATCCTCTTGGCCTCCTGGATCCAAGATGTGGTGAGCTGGGAAGCTCAAACTACTGCTCTCGGTAGCAGAAGATGGGTGCTATTCATCATCAATGAAAGCACTGGAAAAATGAGGAAGGTCCTTTTTTAAGTCAATCTTAGAGTGTGGGAAATAGACCAGAAACCATTCAGGAATGGGACAAAACTGAGTACTAAAGAATGCTCGTTCCTTCTGGGAAAGAACCCACAAAACCCAAGAGTGGGTTAATGGGGCAGGGCAGCAGTGGCTCCGGTGGGCTGGGATCAGGGTCGTGTCTCAGGATTCAGACGCCTCCTGGCTGGACAGAACCCAAGAGGCAAGGCGCTGGAGGGGAGCTGGAGAGCCCCAGGTCGCCTGCCAGCCAGTGCAGCACTCCGACGGCACCACAAACAGCATCATGGCTGGGCCATGTCCACCAAACAGGACGGGGGGGGGGGCGGGGGACAAGAAGGATGAGCAGAGGACAGTAAGGATCATTGCAGCCCCCGACTCTCTGCCTCCTGCTGCCCAGGCCTAACAGAAGCTCCCCTAAGGGACCACAGCGAGTCCTCCCCCCTCCCAGGGCTCAGGCTTTGGCTCCTTCTGACATCGAGAGGGTGGACTCCGGGAAAGTCAGGTGCAGTGTGACCGGGCTGACCAAATGCCCAGCTGGAGGAGAGTGGAGGTGCACGTCTTTACTTGGAAAGCAAAGAAGCACGTGATTAAAACAGTAATAAAAAGGTCATGTTCTGCCCGTGAGATTGACACCAAAAGTACGACTGGAGACACTTGTGTGGGCGGTGCCTGTGGTTTCCCACGGTCTTGGTGGGAGGGAAGCGGGCGTGTGTCTCCGTCCACAGCGCTGACCGCACACTCTCCAGAGCAGTGTCCTTCTTATCCTAGAAGGAGCCACACAGGTGAGCCCAGGGGACACAGAGGGCTCCGCAGCACCGTCTTCAACAGCGGTAACGAGGAGACCACTGCCTTCCTGTCGGTGTAAGATGTGCTCATCTTCAGCAGGGTACCTGTGAGGAGGCAGAAGGACATTTGCCATCCCGGACCCGATGACCAGAGGGAGCTGTCAAGCTGGGTGAGTAGGGAGGAGGTGGAGGGGAGGCATGCAGGGGGAGAGAGAGTAAGAGTGAGGAGGGCCAGAGAGGGGGACCCCCAGGGAGCAGGAGCCCAGCACAGGGACCCCCGCGATTTACTGAAACAGGAAGTGGTTGGAATTTGTTATACATTATGTGTTTAATTTGTTTACCTAAATGTAATTTTTAAATTATGCATCTAATCTTAAAAGTAATTGAGAATATGTGTGTTATTATCAGCAAAAGAAAAAGAGCCGTGAAAGTCACCGAGGGGAGGGACTGGTGGGGAGTTCCCTCCCAGGTGTGGACGGTCGGGGCTCACCTGGGACACCCACCTCCGGGGCGACTGAAGTAAACAGAAGGGGCCTGATCCCACACTTAGGAAGCAGACCCTGCACCAGCGCCTCGGCCGCCCCCCAGGCACAGCCTGCTCTTGCAACGCGGCAGAAGCCCAGCACTCAGAGGCGCTGCTGCGTCCAGAGCCCAGTCCTGACTCCCGGGCTCCGTGGCTGTGCAGGGGTCTCCCCTTCCTGCAGGTCTCAGTGCTGTGGGTCTGCTCGCTCACGGCTTCTGCGTCAGAACTGTCCAGGCCGTGCGGCAGCAAACAGCAAGGAAACCAGCCACAAACCAATCAGGAGTCTCCCAGCTTCCACCGACAGCAATGACCACGATGGCAGCCAGCACGGCCATGTCCATTTAGAGCCAGCCAAGAGTCGAAATGATGGCCTTCCCCATGGTCAGACCAGCAGCCTGCACAGAAACTGGGAGAAGGAGCAAAGCAGGAGGTGGGGGCTGGCCTGGGGCCCTGGCGCTCAGCCACAGCTGGCCGTCCACTGCCTCCTGAGTGGGGCAGTTCACCTGCTTTCCCTAATTAACTCAGAGCCTGGACAAGTGGGTCTTCAACACATGCCATCCTCCTCTGCAGCCCAAACCCCAAGCAGAGATGCCCTCCTCATGGAAGAGGTGCAAGGCGGGCACTTCCCTCTGGGGCCACGTGGGCTCCCACAGGAGCAGAGTGGACAGTGGGGCACAAGCATCCCTGGTCTGCTGGCAGCAGGAGAGAGCAGGACGCCCAGCCTCCCTCAGCTAGGGAGATGCGGCACCGCTCTGCTCCTCCAAGCACTCTCTGAGGTGGGCCTCCACGGCCCCCACCTCATGGATGAGGAGGCCAAGAATGGACAGGGACGGGAGCCCATAGAGAAGGCCATCTGCAGTCCCACCAGCAGAACCCTGGGGCATCTCAGCAGCGCCCAGAAAATGCCCAAACGTGTCTTTAAATCCCCCAAAGTGAATTTCCACCCCCGTCCTCATCCTGTGGGCCACCCTCCCCCACTCCCCAGCCTCCTGCAGGCCACAGTGTCATCTGAAGGTGACAGGTCAGCCCTTCCCTGGGCCCAGGACGCATCAACCCTGAAGACTGGACCCCTCTCCGTGCCTGCGAGGCACCGTGTCTCCCTAGCAGTGGCTGGTGCGTGCTTTGACATAACGCAGGGTGACGTTTCCCGCTGGGGGCAGAAACAGCTTTGTCTACAGCGAGCCAATCCTTCAGGGCAGCTGAGCTGCGGACAGCCCTGGCCAAGTCCACAGAGCGGCCGCTCTGACCGGTGCCCGGAGCCTCCAGCCAGTGACCTCCACATACTCACAGGAGGCAGCAGCCTTGGGGGCTGACCCCATGCGGTCAGGCTGAGCACGGCCCCCGTCAGTAGCCATCACATCTACCTGCCTTGTGAGCAGTGGCCGTTCAACCCCAGGGCCACAAACGCCCCAGCGTACTGCTCACCAACCCCAAAGAAAGACCTTGGGGACCCACGGCCCAGTTCTGGACGTTAAATTCCTCACGGGCTCCTCTGTGGCACCGGCCAGGATGCAACGCAGCCACCCAGGCCTGTGAGCCGGGCAGCATGGAGGACAGGGGGCTGGTGCCCGTGCAGGTGGAGCGCCAGGTGTTCCTGCATACCCCAGGTCGCTCTGAAGAAGGAGGAAGCATGGCCACCGGCTTCCCTTCCCTGCTTTCCCGGAGTCACGCCCCGTGCCCTCCTCCTGGCACCACAACAGGCGCTCGAGGCGCTGACCTGGGTTCACCTGGAGAAGGGAAGTCGGGATCCAGCCCCTCGGGTTGGGAGCCACTTCTGTCCTGAGAGACGGACAGTAAGACGTGGTGTGGTCAACAAAGGGGGCAGAGGGACAGCCAGGCTGCCCAGGGAGGGGAGGATCCAAGGTCAAGGGCTGTGCGACACTTGGCCTCAGGGGAAGCAGGTTTGGCCCGTCAGGGAAGGTGGTGGGGAGAGTCACCTGGCAGAGGCAGTGGACAGGCGTGGGAGGAAGCACACGGTGAGGTGACCCCGGAAGCCCAGAGCCAGGAGCCCTGGGAGCCCTGCGAATCCCCCTGGGTGAGCTCCCGGGATGGGACAAGGACAGGTTCCGTACTCCTACAGAGAGGTCTCCGGAGCTAGAGAGTGGGTCACCCCAGTCACACAGCGAGTGGGAAACATGGAGTTGCTCGGATTTCTTTAGGTTGCTCCCAGAATCCCACCTCAGGCCCTGCCCGCCTCGTCTGGACTCCCACCCGACCCCCACCCCCCACCCCCCAACCATGGTTAGAGCCACACACCGAGAGGTCTCCTCCCGCGGCGCTGGATGGAGTGTGGACAGGGCGGGGCCTTCCTGGAGGGTGGGCCCCGCTTTCCTTGCCTCCCTCTAGCTCCTGTGACCACAGCAGTCCCCAGAGTGACCATCAGATCCAGATGGTATCCGAATTCTCTCAGAAAGGAGCCGGTGGCTATGTGGGCGCTGCGGCAGCCGAGAGAACGTCGACCAGAAAGCCGCGTGGCAGGAGCGACCCGGGAGGGGCCCGTCACAGGAGAGAGCCACCCCTGGCACCCAGTCACAGGGTGGCGCGGGCCGTCCCCCAGAGACAGGAGGTTCACGCTTCTCTGCCAGTCGCACGACGGCTTCCACGGGTGCCCTCTCCGGAGTCCCCTTCTCCAGGTTCCATTTCCTCATCAACAAAATGGGAAAGTAGCTTCTCTCTGGCCTTGGCCTCGATGCCCAGGGCCTTCCTGCCTCAGTCACCCCTCGAGTCGCTGCAAGAGGCCCCCAGAGCAAGGCTTGTGTCCAGCCTCCCCCGAGGGACGCAGAGGAGCTGGCCTGCAGGAAGGAGCGGGCTCTGAGACATGCATTCAGCAAGTGACGCTCCAGAAGCGGCTGCCAGCCTGCAGGTGAGGACGGGCCTCACAGAGAACTGAAGATGGGCTCCTGCCTGGGGACATGCCTTGTCAATCACCAGTGCCACCAGCTGTCAAGAAAACAGCCTCGTGATTACCAGTCAGGGCCACACAGCTTCTGGCTTTCCCTCTCACACCCGGAATAGTACCACAGCTTCCACGTCCACCTCCAGTCACCCACCCCTGAAAATAAAACTTCAGCCAGGTCCTTCCTCCAACCAGAATGTCGAGCCTCTTGGCCTGGCGCCCATTCACAGCCTCAAAGTCCAACGACAAACCACGGTTTCAATTTCATCTTTCACAATGTACCCATAGCAGCCTTTGCTGCAGCTGACTACCTTACTCAGAGCTGCCCCCTGAGGTCATTCAGGTTTTGCACTGCACAAGGGGAGCTGCCACTCACATGTGGCACACTGTGCTGGGCGTGGCTGACAAGCACTCTGTTCACTGGCCGCCACCGCAAGCACAACTTCTGCCTTCCTTGTTCCCTGCTTTGGTCTTTATTGAAGTTTTTACTGTTCTGTGGTTTTGTGATATCTTTAAATTTATAGAAAGAATGTGTAATACTCAGACACCTCCCCATGCCCATCCACCTACCATTAAGCAACATGGATCATATTTAACAGCCATCGTGCTTGTGTTGACTGTGATAAAATGAGCAGCGTGTGGCAGATGGAGTTGAAGTTCACCCCCCCATCTTCAACCCCATTTTCTCCTCCCACCCCCAGAGCAACCACCTTATGAACAGGCCTTGGGTTTGGTCCAGCCGACCCTTTAATACCTTCCAATATCTGTATCTACATTACATCATCCACTGCAGGAAGTCGGTGCTGCGGGAAACTGAGCTCCTCCCACTGGGCTCGGGAAGCAGGACTGCAGGGCTCCAGGTGCCAGGTCCCACCAGGAGCTGCTCTGCTGCCGAAGCCTGACCTTACACCCAGCCTGGCTGCCTGCTGGACACCGAGGGTGCTGTCCCAGGACCCAGACCCACATGCCACCCACCAGGCCACCAAGGGATGCCAGGATGCAGGACAGCATCCTCATCAACAGCTTCTGGAGCAAACAGTGGACGTGCTGATCAGACTGACTCACCACAGGGGCTGGCCACACGCCTGAGTGGGGCGTGTTGGAAGGAGGAGCCAAGGTCTGGAATCCCAGAAAGCAGGCAGGAAGGATGCGCAGGGAGGACGTCGGGCCAAGTGCATCTGGTGTGGAGTCAGAGCAAGGGGGACCGGTGGAACACACGGTGGGGCTCCTGGTCTCCAAAGGCCTGTGCACCCCGGCTAGAGGCCTCTCCAACTACCCTAACGCACTGCCAGGCTGTTGGTAAACACTTTGGTTCCTGTTGGTGGGGGAGGCCCTGGTGGGGAGCCGCCCTCCCCCGTTGGCATGTGGGAGGCACAGGGACCAGCGTCTGGTGGCGGGGGTGCGTCTTGCCATGTGCTCAGGACTCAGCCAAATCGAGCAGCAAAACACATTGGAAGGGAGCTGCCGTCGTCAGAACCTGCCATCTCTGCTTGCAGAACAGCCTTTGGGTGCTCAGATAATGAAGGAAGTACCCAGGCGTGCTTCTCTAACAGGGGGAGTCTGTCTTCCTCTGCGACCCAAACCAGTCACAAGGTGCAAGGAGCCCACAGCACTCTCCTGCCTGTAATGTACACCCGTGCAAACATCCAGATTCTCAGCTCTGCAAACACCTGGCTGGGAGACCTTGTGAAGCCACAGCCTCTTCCCAGAAGAAGAGGTGCCCTGTGCTCAGACCACAGGAAGAAATAAAATAGTGCTTGCCACAGTTGACAGAGAAGAAATGGTGCTTGTCTTAGTTGTTTTTGCTGCCAAAACGGAATGCCTAAGACCAGGTGACTGATAATTAACTAAAGTTACTTGGCTCCTGGCGTGGCGGCTGGAGTCCAAGATGGAGAGGTGGTGTCTGGCAAGGACCTGCAGGCTGATCAGCGCCTGCAGAAGGGCAGAGTAGGGGAGCATGGGGAGTGACTGTGGGATGTTGCCTCTTCCAGCCCCTGAAGCCTGCAGAGAGGCCTGTGGCCTCAGGACATGGCCGTGCTGTCTCCTGCCACGGTGATAAAATGCACCGCGTGTCAAACTTACATTCTACCACCGTTAAGCCCTCGGCACCCTGTGCCCCTCACGCCTGCAGAATTCTCTGTCCTCCCCACTGAAGCCCTGCCCCACACCTCCTCCCCAGCCCTCCAGCCCTGGCAGCTGCTCCTTCTTTCTGTCTCTGTGGAAGTGTGAGGACCTCACACAAGTGGAGCTGCCCGTGTGACCGGCTTCTCTCTCTTCGCACGGTGCCAGGGTTCCTCCGCACTGCCACAGGTCTCGGGACCCCCTTCCTTTCGTGGCCAGATAACATCCCATTGTCTGTGAATCCCGCGGTTTGTCCATCCACTCGTGAGTTTCCATTTTTTGTGTCAACAAGTATGTCCACCAGGAACAGAGTATAAAATGAGATCAGCTCTCTCTCTCCCCCCTCTCTCTCTCTCTCTCACTCACACACACACACACACACACACACACACACACACACTCACACAGGCACACTCACACAGGCACACACACACACTGCCACTTTCAGATGGCCTTGAGCACTCATAGAAAAGCAAAAGCCTCCCCCACTCACCACTGCCCTTCCTTGGGTAGGGCCCAGGGAGTCTCGGCAGGAAGCTGCCTGTCATCCGCTGACTCAGCCGGCTGGACCCGTGCTGAGAGGCACCTCCTCCACTCGATGGCCATTGGAGAAATGTCATTTATTAGATAAGAGATTTGATGGGAGAGTTGGAAGGAAGGGGGGAGAGGCTCTTAAATCGTGGGTTTTTCTTAAGAAGAAAGTACTTTCTTTTTCTTGCAGTGCTGGGACGCAACCCAGGGCCTTGCTAGGCAAGCGCTCGACCGCCAAGCTGCATCCCAGACCTTTATTATTAGTCGTGCTTTATTTTGAGGCAGGGTGTCATAAGGCTGCAGAGACTGGCCTCAAACTTGCATCCCGAATAGCTGAGCCCAACCACACCCAGGTACATTAGGGAATGTACCGTAATGGAGACTCCTGCTGTGGAGCAAAAGGAAACAGGTCACCTTCAAGACAAGGGTCCCCGCAGGAAGACAGAAAATGAAGGTGGCAGAGAAAGAAGTGGGCAGTGTCCCTCTCGGGCAGGCCTGGGGAGTCGCAGGCATGTCCTAAAGCCACCCGTCCCTTAGAGCTCTGTTCAGGGAGATAAGCAGGCCCAGCCATTGACACACTCATGAATTTTCATCCAGAAAAAATCTAGGAATCCCCAAGAAAATTCAGCCACACAGATTAAGTGGTTTTCTGAGATATGTGTGTCATAAACACATAGAAATAGGAAGAATATAGAGCCACTCACCCACCCACACATACGGCCTTCTCGCCTATTGAATGAGTGGGACAGATTAGAAATGTCTGGAGTGTTAGGGAGGCATGGGGATGGCAGGCCGAGTTCCTGCCCTGGGATAGCTTTCCTTCGTGCCTTCCAGATGGTCAGCCCCAGGCACAGTGCCGCCCGGCCAGCCAACCCAGGACGCTGCCCGTCTGCCCCCCTGTCCTCAGCACCGTGCTGGACGTCACCTGGCACTTCCTTGTACATCCCTGGATTATCTAGTTTCTCCCTCCAGGTCCTGAACTTGTGAGCTCAGGACCAACGTCCAGCTTTGTCACTGTGTCCCTCAGCACTAAATGGTGCCTGGCACACAGGAGATGCTCAATAAGTGTTGGACACAGTCTAGCAATTTCCCAGAAGGGCTGAGTGCCAGACGCAGATGGGTGGCTCCTGAGGTCCTGCCTGGCAACACTTGCTCTATGCAGATGGAGAGCCGTGGACCCTTGGTTCCGTGCAGATTCAATGAGCACTCAGCAGTGAGCACTCCCTCTCTAGCACCCTGTGATCCTCTCCCAATGGCTTAACTACTTCTGTCAAAGGAGGCGCGATGCCAAACTTTCTCAGCAGAGGGCGCAGGAGGAACATGCACGGGCACAACGCTCCTGCTGTGGCCAGCCTGTCATGGGTCCTCCCAGGCAGGAGAGCATCCTGGGGAGCTGCCCCGCAGCCAGACTCCACTGTCCTGCAACCTCAGCCTGGAAGCGACCTTCCTTGCTGCTCTTGACATGGAAGCCCAACCTCCCACGCCGCCCTGGGCTCCAAAAGGGCCAGCCTGGCCGTGCTGCTCATGCTGTGTCCTGAGGGGCTCTGGCCTGGCCACACCAGCACACCCACTGTGCACTGGCTGGGCCACCCTCCTCCCGTGAGCACAGAAGCCCTGGGCTCCTGCCCTGGGATGCTCCCTGAGCCCCTGACCAGGA